ACGACGCCTGGATTTCCCTCATCAGCAAATCAGACGTCGACTTTTACTTATTTGCAGCGTCACATTGAATTATGCAAGGGCGTTCTGATCGTGTTGACCATGGCAGGACGTACCTTAGGCCCTCGTTTTTCGGAAGAGACTTGGCTCGTCCTCTTGAAAGTCGTCTTGGGCATAACGGACTGTCTGTTGCGTGAGCCTGTTGCATCAATATCATCAGATGTTACCACTGAGAAAAAGACGGCCACAACAATGGCAGATGAATTGTGCGAACATCTGTTAAGGGTCCTCTTTGAATTATGGTTAAGATCGAAGATTCGTAAGGTGGAAATGTGGGATATTTTTAAAAAATGTTTCAATCAATGGGCTCACCGTCAACAAGCTTTGCAGCAGTGGAACGCCACGACATTGGCGTTAACTCAACGTGTCGTCAGATTGCTGTACGGTCCAAAAGAAGGAGAAGAGATGATAAACATATCAGTGAGTGGATACAATGTTGGTCTAGATTTGCCGAACGATTTTGTATATTTTGCATGGCACAGGATGATTTACCTAATCGATAACCCGTGTTTGCTACCACCTGTAAACTTTTCATTGGCAATCTTGGGAATCGGTAGGGTCATTGATGCGTTTCAAGCTATCGGACAATCGAATCTTCAGAGATCTGCACAAAAGGATATCGAAAATTCATTTGCCATAATACCCGATGGAAATACGATATTACATATGTTTGGACCGTGGTTATTTCAGGCGTGCACGATAAATCTTAATGATTCCGGTTATCAAATTGGTCGAGCGGAATCTTTTGGAATTTTATGTAGAATATTTTGTTTACCCCAAAAGCGTGAAAAGTTTTCGAGGGATTATATCACGCAATTTTATTTTGCTCTTACCGAAGGGCTGCGAACCGACAGTTGCTTGCCAATCATTTTGATGAATACCTGCAATCTTTTCGCCACGGACTTGGAGGGAGTACGAATGATGGTACCTGATTTTGTGGTGGGCATAAAGATGGTTCTACCAAAATTGGCACCAGGTTTTAAAACGGATCTTCCTCTTGACGAGTTGAGACTGGCTGCAATTAGAGTGGCGAGTACCATCATGTGTTTACCGAATCACTTCGAGAAGGTGTCATTAAGAGAAAACTGGAATATAGGGTTGCTTCAAGACGGTGAAAAAGTCGCTAACAATGATCCCGACGAAATTGTTGATGAGCTAGTAAGCACTGATGATTTAAAAAAATATTTTCTACGTACGTTCTCGAGTGCTGAAATGATTTTATACTTAGATACGTGTTTTGTATTCTGAAGAGGATCCCCGAGAAAATTTGCCCAACAGAAATTCAACCGAACCATTTACAGCTGTAGGTCAATCAGATGTATGTTAGGATTCTTGGTACATCAGTTAACTTTTCTTCACAATATTTATAGTTGAAATTCTACATATTGGAGCTTCTGCTGAAATCACTGAAAACGGAAAAGTCACCTTACAATCTTCGATACTTGCTTCACCTAATTAATGTTTATGTGGTCGAAGACGTAGCTTTTTGCCCAGGATTAGTGGGACTTGTGGTAAAGTCGATCCAAGAAAAGGTTCGCACATCTAACAAGTGATGATGACCGATTTCATATTCAGGCGTACTTATGAAGGATTATTATGCTATTTATGATCACACAGGTTTTGACTATGAATCTATCTCCTGATGTGACCTTATGTGCGTTTGACGTTCTAAAAGATTTTGTAGGATTATATGATTATGTTCAACGAGATAGTAAGGTATGGATCCATCCTTATCACATAATGAAGGACCAGAAGAATTATTGAAAAAGACGACATGAGATATACATATATATGATTGTGACCATGGTTTTCACATCGTGTTTCCCCAGTAGTTCATTCTGCTTTCTCCTTGTTAACAAGTCACTTCTATTTAGAACTGCGCTAGGGAATTAGTCTTGGTGCTTTCACGGTATATTGATACCATGCTTTCTAGTGGATTGGTAAAAACCCTATAAATTCTCCTTGATCTGATTTTTTTCACACACATAATCATTCGATATCTATCGCATATGCATTTATATTAGGCTGCAAATTATCATTTGGTCGAGAGAGCATACGATTGCATGATGCGATGGATTCTCATTGGACAATGGATTGTCGGTGACCGCGACTGTCACGAAGCTGTGATCTCAACAATCAGTAAGGGAATTTCGGTAATTCCAATTAATGATGATGATACACCAAATTCGTCAAATGATAAGAAGAAGAGCAAAAAAGATCAAGTTCCCGCTAAACTCTTTCCGCGGAGTAGCAAGACTTTATCATCGAGTGGTGAAAACCTGACACACCTTGGAGGAGGTCCAAGTCGCAAAAGAGGAGAATATGCGGTCAAGATTGCTGCCGAAATCGCCATGGCCCAATTTGTTAATCATTTGGGGAATTTTCCTACATGGAACGACCCCATTGGTCCGAGTAGGATCTCGACCTTATTTAATGACGATTTGGAACTGGCAAAGGCACAAGTCGCAGAACACAGCGAGTTAGTTGGAACATCCGCATCCGGCCGAGTTCGGTATTTTCTGATTGATGGAAGAGTTGTGATGGGTTTTGTGGAAAATCCAAAGCATCTTAAACGGACAATGAGCCACGATCCAAGTATCGAAACTTCTAATAAGACTGACGCACCAGTTGCAACAGGAACCTCTGAAGTTTATATGCATCATTTTCATTTTCCTGAAGAAAATGGCGATAATTTATCGGTAATTGTTGTTCTTCGAGATAGTACAGGGAAATACACATGGATTTCACAAATGTGTTACAAATCTTCACTCGAAGACAACCTTAAGTCTCGACCACT